TCCTACATGTGGAGCCAGCCATCATCTACCTAGGAAGACCATTACCTAGAGCAGGGATCTCCAAACTGAGGCCCCAGGGCCACATAAGGCCCACTAAAGGGTTATGTGGCCCACAGTGACTGTCAATGAAAATACCTCGGCTGGCGGTGGATGCACCAGTCTGTGTATTGGGCAGCACGGCGGCTAAATGGTTAGCACTTCCGCCTGGCAGTACTCGGGTCGTTGGTTCGAATCCCAACCATGGCACCACCTGCCTAGAGTTTGCATGTTCTCCCTGTGCCTACGTGGGTTTCCTCTGGGTACTCCGGTTTCCTCCCACTCTCCAAAGACATGCTAGTAGGTTAATTGGATCCTGTCTACATTGTCCCTACTATGTGTATGTATGAATGTGAGTTAGGGCCCTTAGATTGTAGGCTCCTCGGGGGCGGGGACTGATGTGAATGTACAATATATATGTAAAGTGCGGCATAAACTGACGGCGCTATATAAGTACCTGAAATAATAATAATAATAAATAATAATATTGTAATACTGAGACCAATGCGTCCGCTGCCAGCCAAACAGCCCAGACCATCTCCCAGGTCTCCAGTGCATATTCTGCTGGGCGCGCACGGACGTAAGGGGGAACTCCTGCTGGGCGCGCACGGACGTAAGGGGGAACTCCTGCTGGGCGCGCACGGACGTAAGGGGGAACTCCTGCTGGGCGCGCACGAACGTAAGGGGGAACTCCTGCTGGGCGCGCACGGACGTAAGGGGGAACTCCTGCTGGGCGCGCACAGACGTAAGGGGGGAACTCCTGCTGGGCGCGCACGGACGTAAGGGGGAACTCCTGCTGGGCGCGCACGAACGTAAGGGGGAACTCCTGCTGGGGGGCGCGCACGAACGTAAGGGGGAACTCCTGCTGGGCGCGCACGAACGTAAGGGGGAACTCCTGCTGGGCGCGCACGGACGTAAGGGGGGAACTCCTGCTGGGCGCGCACGGACGTAAGGGGGGAACTCCTGCTGGGCGCGCACGGACGTAAGGGGGAACCCTGCTGGGCGCGCACGGACGTAAGGGGGAACCCTGCTGGGCGCGCACGGACGTAAGGGGAACCCCTGCTGGGCGCGCACGGACGTAAGGGGAACCCCTGCTGGGCGCGCACGGACGTAAGGGGAACCCCTGCTGGGCGCGCACAGACGTAAGGGGGAACTCCTGCTAGGAGCGCACGGACGTAAGGGGGAACTCCTGCTGGGAGCGCACGGACGTAAGGGGGAACTCCTGCTAGGCGCGCACGGACGTAAGGGGGAACTCCTGCTAGGCGCGCGCTACGGACGTAAGGGGGATGTGAACTGTGCTGGGCATCCACAGATGTAAGGGGGAACTCTGCTGGGCACTCAGGGATGGATGTAGTTCAAAGCTAACCCTAGAAAGTATTATTCTAGTATATAAGTAAAATAGTGGATGCTGGAAACAGACTTTCCACAGTGTTAGTGACTCAATCAAGAGTAAGAGAATTTAAATGTAATTTGGGACAAATATAGATCCACACTCAGACTAAAAATGATAAAAAAAGGACAAAATAAAAAAAACAAAGTAGCTAAACTCGGTGGAACACTCTTTTCTGTCTTTTCTGCCGCCGCTCCTTCAAGTTTTTAATTTACAGGAAAAATAAACAGATCAACATCGGTATTCACGTATTCTCACCTCAAGCGTAGCCTGGAGAAGGAATTTGCCTTCATCGTGCACCACTTGTCCCACCGGGGCGAGCTCACCGCACCGCGGCAAAAACTCCATCTGAGACAAAAATATCAAATCAGTCAACCATCAGCTACAATGACATCTACATAATCCTTGCTGGTAATGGAGCACATCATTCCCATCAGTCTCGCAAGGCCTTCTCTAATTGGACGAGGTGGAGGCAGAGTTGGTAACATCAAACTCTCTACCTCATCCAATCAGACAACCTCCGGTGTTCACAATGCAGGGACACAGCTGCTGCTCCCAATCTGACATCCATGCGGGTGCAGGTGTGTGTCCCCGAACTCACACAGTGTGCATTCATGGGGACACACCCTGCTGCGTCCATGCAGCCTCTGCGCCCCAATTGACATGAATATGGATGCATGGAGCATTTGTGTTTCCCCATGTGGGTAAACGGCCCTCCAGGGGCGTACGGTATAGAACCCCCTGTGTGAACGAGGCCTTAGCTCAGTTAGGTCCATATATATTTGAACACAGGCACAATTTTCATACTTTTGGCTCTGTAGAATAAAGTAAAATTAAACAATCCAAATGAATTTGAAGCACTTTAATTCAGCTTTAATTCAAGGGGTTGAACATAAATATCAAGTACACATTTTAGGAACTGCAACCATTTGTATACACAATTCCCCCCATTTTCAGGGGCTCAAATGTAATTTGGACAAATGAATATAATCATCACTAAAATGTTCATTTGTAATATTTTGTTGAGAATCTTTCACTGGCAATGACTGCCTGAAATCTGGAACCCATGAACATGACCAAAGACTGGGTTTCCTCCTTCCTGATGCTTTGCCAGGCTCTACCTGCAGCTGTCTTCAGTTGTTCTTTGTTTGCGGGTCTTTCTGCCTTTAGTTTTCTTTTCCTTCAGAAGCTCCTGGGTTGCTTTTGCAGTGTGTTTTGGATCATTGTCCATCTGTACTGTGAAGCGCCGTCCAATCACCTTTGCTGCATTTGGCTGAATCTGGGCTGACAGTATATCTGTAAACACGGCAGAATTCATCCGGCTGCTTCTGTCTTCTGTCACATCATCAATAAACACCAATGACCCAATGCCACTGGAAGCCATGCATGCCCATGCCATCACCCCGCCTCCGCCCATGCCATCACACCGCCTCCGCCCATGCCATCACACCGCCTCCGCCCATGCCATCACACGGCTTTCGCCCATGCCATCACACCGCCTCCGCCCATGCCATCACGCCGCCTCCGCCCATGCCATCACGCCGCCTCCGCCCATGCCATCACGCTGCCTCCGCCCATGCCATCACGCTGCCTCCGCCCATGCCATCACGCCGCCTCCGCCCATGCCATCACGCCATCCACCCATGTCATCACACCACCGCCTCCACCCATGCCATCACACTGCCTCCACCCATGCCATCACACCGCCTCCACCCATGTCATCACACCGCCTCCACCCATGCCATCACGCCGCCTCCACCCATGCCATCACACCGCCTCCACCCATGTCATCACACACCCCGCCTCCACCCATGCCATCACACTGCCTCCACCCATGTCATCACACCGCCTCCACCCATGTCATCACACCGCCTCCACCCATGCCATCACACTGCTTCCACCCATGTCATCACACCGCCTCCACCCATGCCATCACATGCCTCCATCCATGCCATCACACCGCCTCCACCCATGTCATCACACCGCCTCCACCCATGTCATCACACCGCCTCCACCCATGTCATCACACCGCCTCCACCCATGCCATCACACTGCCTCCACCATGTTTTACAGATGACGTTGTGTGCTTTGGATCATGAGCTGTTCTAAACCTTCTCCACACTTTTTTCTTCCCGTCATTCTGGTAGATTCATCTTAGTTTCATCTGTCCAAAGAATTCATTTCCAGAACTGGTCTGGCTTTTTTAGATGTTTTTTGGCAAAGTCTAATCTGGCTTTTCTATTATTCAGGCTTATGAATGGTTTGCACCTTGTGGTGAACCCTCTGTATTTGCTCTCGTGAAGTCTTCTCTTGATTGTAGACTTTGACAATGATACGCCCACCTCCTGGAGAGTGTCCTTCACTTGTCTGGATGTTGTGAATGGGTTTTTCTTTACCATAGAGAGGATCCTGCGATCATCCACCACTGTTGTCTCCCGTGGACATCCATGCCTTTTTATGTCGCTGAGCTCACCAGTGCGTTCTTCTTTCCTCAGAATGGACCAAACTGTTGATTTGGCCGCTCCTAATGTTGCTGCGATCTCTCTGATGGATTTGTTTTGTTTCTGAAGCCTTACAATGGCCTGTTTCACTTGCATGGACAGCTCATTCAAACGCATGATGTAGGTTCACAGCAATAGATTCCAAATGCAAATACCACACTTAGAATCAACTCCAGACATTTTACCTGCTTAATTGATGAAGACATAATGAAGTAGCCCACACCTGGCCATGAAACAGCTTTTGGTCCCTTGAAAAAGGAGGGATGGGTACTCTTAAGAGCTGCAATTCCTAAACCCTTCCCCCAATGTGGATGTACATACCCTCAAATTAAACCTGAGAGTGTGCACTTTCAGCCCATATCCATTATAGAACTATAGCTTGAATATGTTTTCGTAAATACCTGAAAAAAACTAAAACTGTGCCTGTGTCCAAATATATATGGACCTAACTGTAGGTGTATATCATACATGCTGTACTTTTAGTCACAGCAACCAACCAACTTCCATAAGTCATTTCTTCCATCCAGAGTAGAAAGTGAAACAATGATTCTGATTGGTGGCTATGGTTATTTTCCCCCAGCATGCCCTTCATGTATCACCCCAAAGCTACCATGTGCTGCATGTGACAATTGTAACGTTACACTCACAAAGAAAAGGCAGCTGGACTTCACCGTGGTCGGCTCCGGGAACTTCAAAGAGAGGATAGCTGTGGGACACAACAAGGGAGATATGAATACATTGAAAGAGAAACGCAAGGATGGAAAGAAATTATTCTTTACATGAAAAAAAGATCAATCGTCATAATAAAGACGTCCAACCAAAACATTCAAAAGGTGATATTTTAGTTTTAGCCTTCCGTGGTTCCTCCCCCCCCCCCCCCCCCCCAACACGCTAACCTGTCCATTTCATAGCCTATTTTAGTCCCAGTGATGCAATTACTGGGTCTCTGTGCAATGAAGGCAGATCATGACTGGTGGGAGGAGCACCTTGTATTATTACTTGTCTCAAGAGCCGTCAGCCCTAATGCTAGCAAGGGGCTGGCTCTTGGGAGGAGTTATGCAAATATCAAAGGCGGGTATCAGTCTGGAGGGGTGGGTGTTCCTAGGTAGCATACAGGCGACTTAAGTTAACGCTCATGTATGGTGCTGAGCCTTCCAGACTGAAAGAACTGAAATCCAATGAATGAAAGGGGCCAGGGACAGTCAGGCTGGGGAGGAAATAGCTACATGTTGCTTGACGTCCTCCAGCCAGGAAATGAGGCGGAGCTACAGTCAGGTCCATAAATATTGGGACATGGACACAATTCTAACATTTTTGGCTCTATACACCACCACAATGGATTTGAAATGAAACAAACAAGATGTGCTTTAACTGCAGACCGTCAGCTTTAATTTGAGGGTATTTACATCCAAATCAGGTGAACGGTGTAGGAATTACAACAGTTTGCATATGTGCCTCCCACTTGATAAGGGACCAAAAGTAATGGGACAATTGGCTTCTCAGCTGTTCCATGGCCAGGTGTGTGTTATTCCCTCATTATCCCAATTACAATGAGCAGATAAAAGGTCCAGAGTTCATTTCAAGTGTGCTATTTGCATTTGGAATCTGTTGCTGTCAACTCTCAAGATGAGATCCAAAGAGCTGTCACTATCAGTGAAGCTATCATTAGGCTGAAAAAACAAAACAAACCCATCAGAGAGATAGCAAAAACATTAGGCGTGGCCAAAACAACTGGCTGGAACATTCTTAAAAAGAAGGAACGCACCGGGGAGCTCAGCAACACCAAAAGACCCGGAAGACCACGGAAAACAACTGTGGTGGATGACCGAAGAATTCTTTCCCTGGTGAAGAAAACACCCTTCACAACAGTTGGCCGGATCAAGAACACTCTCCAGGAGGTAGGTGTATGTGTGTCAAAGTCACCAATCAAGAGAAGACTTCACCAGAGTGAATACAGAGGGTTCACCACAAGATGGAAAAACCATTGGTGAGCCTCAAAAACAGGAAGGCCAGATTAGAGTTTGCCAAACGACATGTAAAAAAGCCTTCACAGTTCTGGAACAACATCCTATGGACAGATGAGACCGACATCAACTTGTACCAGAGTGATGGGAAGAGAAGAGGATGGAGAAGGAACTGCTCATGATCCGTCGCATACCACCTCATCAGTGATCATGGTGGTGGTAGTGTCATGGCGTGGGCATGTATGGCTGCCAATGGAACTGCTTCTCTTGTATTTATTGATGATGTGACTGCTGACAGAAGCAGCCGGATGAATTCTGAAGTGTTTCGGGAATATTATCGGCTCATATTCAGCCAAGTGCTTCACAACTCATTGGACGCTTCACAGTGCAGATGGACAATGACCCAAAGCAGACTGCAAAAGCAACCAAAGAGTTTTTTAAGGGAAAGAAGTGGAATGTTATGCAATGGCCAAGTCCATCACCTGACCTGAATCCGATTGAGCATTTCACTTGCTGAAGACAAAACTGAAGGGAAAATGCCCCAAGAACAAGCAGGAACTGAAGACAGTTGCAGTAGAGGCCTGGCAGAGCATCACCAGGGATGAAACCCAGCGTCTGGTGATGTCTATGCGTTCCAGACTTCAGGCTGTAATTGACTGCAAAGGATTTGCAACCAAGTATTAAAAAGTGAAAGTTTGATTTATGATTATTAATCTGTCCCATTACTTTTGGCTGACAGTCTGCAGTTAAAGCACATCTTGCTTGTTTCATTTCAAATCCATTGTGGTGTATAGAGCCAAAAATGTTAGAGTTGTGTCCATGTCCCAATATTTATGGACCTGACTGTATGTCTGACTGGCTGCAGCTTCTAATGCACATTTTGAGAAGCTCACAGTGTGCAGTGACATCAGAGGAAGCCGTTCCATTCCGGGAGAGGAGCTGGTACACCTGTGCAAGACTGAGGGGGAGGAGACATTACACCTGTGCAAGACTGAAGGGGAGGAACCGACACACCTGTGCGAGACTGAAGGGGAGGAGCCGGCACACCTGTGCGAGACTGAAGGGGAGGAGCCGGCACACCTGTGCGAGACTGAAGGGGAGGAGCCGGCACACCTGTGCGAGACTGAGGGGGAGGAGCCGGCACACCTGTGCGAGACTGAGGGGGAGGAGCCGGCACACCTGTGCGAGACTGAGGGGGAGGAGCCGGTACACCTGTGCGAGACTGAAGGGGAGGAGCCGATGCACCTGTGCGAGACTGAAGGGGAGGAGCCGGTGCACCTGTGCGAGACTGAAGGGGAGGAGCCGGTGCACCTGTGCGAGACTGAGGGGGAGGAGCCGGTGCACCTGTGCGAGACTGAGGGGGAGGAGCCGGTACACCTGTGCGAGACTGAGGGGGAGGAGCCGGTACACCTGTGCGAGACTGAGGGGGAGGAGGCGGTACACCTGTGCAAGACTGAAGGGGAGGCCGGTGGTCAGCTCTGATCCCCTTCACACCTATAAAGTCAAAGCTATATTCCACAGACTGCAGGCTCACTAAAATCAGAAATTCACCATTTTTTAAACTTGTGCCTTGGGGTGCACTGATAAGGTGTGTTGGGGTGCTACTCAAAATTAGTGTCACCTCAATGTACCGCGGATTATGTGTTAACACGTGTTGAGGTAGCATGTGCTGAGACATCACTTACATGGGGAAAACCATTTAGGAGAAACTGAACTCAAAGCTGAGCCAAACAATAGGCAAGCAGAGGGCAAAGGACTGGTGACCAGTATTGCCTGCGGTCTCCCTGCAGCGGATCTTGTCCCATTACTGATGTACATGCGGGCAGCAATCTGGGGGTATGATATATCTGCTGACCTCACTGGCAGGGTGCTATACAGATCCAAGGCATTCCTAGAGGGCAATAAATTCCCCAAAGGACCTGCAGGATGCGCCCACCATGAAGGGTGATGATTAGGCCTACTGGCCCTGAAGGAGGACTGGTGAGTCTCTATGATATGGTGGATCATGTGACAGTCTTTTCCCAAAAATGGTTTCCTGTGTGGGGGCAAGGTGGGTAGAAACACATAGCAATGATGGATCTCAATCCGGCAGACTGGCAAGGCACACGGTGACCTAATTGTGCATTAAACGTTTCCTATGAGGAAGTCACGAGGTCATGTGGAGAAACGCATCAGTTGGCATAGCTACTTGATGTCATCACACCCGGAAATCGGAATTGCTAATCAGCCAATCGCATGACAGCAACTCAATGCATTTAGGCTTCTAGATGTGGTGAAGACAACTTGCTGAAGTTCAAACAGAGCATCAGAATGGGGAAGAAAGAGGATTTAAGTGACTGACTTTTGGGGTATTGACACAGCCCCAGACGATCCACATTGGCTCACAACTGATGACCCAGAAATATTTAGACAGAATAAAGGTGAATAAAGCCCGTGGACCGGATGGCACACACCCACGGGTCCATAAAGAATTGAGCTCCGTCATTTCAAAGCCATTGTTTCTCATTTTTAGGGACTCTTTAATGACTGGCACAGTACCACTGGATTGGCGTAAGGCCAATGTGGGGCCAATATTTAAAAAGGGGTCAAAATCTTTCCCAAGTAATAGACCTGATAGTGGAACTTCCATAGTTGGGAAGATATTGGAGAGTTTAAGAAAAGACCACATAGAGGAGTTCTTGCTGGAAAAAATATTTTAAGCAACCGACAGCATGGATTCATGAAAGACAGAAGTTGTCAAACAAATCTGATTTCTTTTTATGAGGAAGGTGAGCAAAACCTTGGACAGAGGGGTGGCGATGGATGTGGTATACTTGGACAGAGGGGTGGCGGTGGACGTGGTATACTTGGACAGAGGGGTGGCGGTGGGCGTGGTATACTTGGACAGAGGGGTGACGGTGGGCGTGGTATACTTGGACAGAGGGGTGGCGGTGGACGTGGTATACTTGGACAGAGGGGTGGCGGTGGACGTGGTATACTTGGACAGAGGGGTGGCGGTGGGCGTGGTATACTTGGACAGAGGGGTGGCGGTGGACATGGTATACTTGGACAGAGGGGTGGCGGTGGACGTGGTATACTTGGACAGAGGGGTGGCGGTGGACGTGGTATACTTGGACAGAGGGATGGCTGTGGACGTGGTATACTTGGACAGAGGGGTGGCGGTGGACGTGGTATACTTGGACAGAGGGGTGGCGGTGGACGTGGTATACTTGGACAGAGGGGTGGCGGTGGGCGTGGTATACTTGGACAGAGGGGTGGCGGTGGGCGTGGTATACTTGGACAGAGGGGTGGCTGTGGACACGGTATACTTGGACAGAGAGGGGTGGCGGTGGACACGGTATACTTGGACAGAGGGGTGGCGGTGGACACGGTATACTTGGACAGAGGGGTGGCGGTGGACACGGTATACTTGGACAGAGGGGTGGCGGTGGACACGGTATACTTGGACAGAGGGGTGGCGGTGGACACGGTATACTTGGACAGAGGGGGGGTGGCGGTGGACACGGTATACTTGGACAGAGGGGTGGCGGTGGACACGGTATACTTGGACAGAGGGGTGGCGGTGGACGTGGTATACTTGGACAGAGGGTTGGCGGTGGACGTGGTATACTTGGACAAAGGGGTGGCGGTGGACGTGGTATACTTGGACAGAGGGGTGGCGGTGGACGTGGTATACTTGGACAGAGGGGTGGGCGGTGGACGTGGTATACTTGGACAGAGGGGTGGCGGTGGACGTGGTATACTTGGACAGAGGGGTGGCGGTGGACGTGGTATACGTGGATTTAGTTGCTAACAAGCAGCTAATGTGTAAGATAACATCTACGGGCTGGTAAAAATCCATATGGAAATGGATAGAAAACTGGCTAAAAGATCGTATTCAGAGAGTAGTGGTTAATGATTCATACTCTGAATGGTCTAGGGGTGTCAGTGGGGTAACCCAACGTTCAGTGTTATTAGTGGTGTACCCCAAGGTTCAGTTGTATTAGTGGTGTACCCCAAGGTTCAGTGTGATTAGTGGTGCACCCCAAGGTTCAGTTGTATTAGTGGTGTACCCCAAGGTTCAGTGTGATTAGTGGGGTACCCCAAGGTTCAGTGTGATTAGTGGTGCACCCCGAGGTTCAGTGTTATTAGTGGGGTACCCCAAGGTTCAGTGTTATTAGTGGTGTACCCCGAGGTTCAGTGTTATTAGTGGTGTACCCCAAGGTTCAGTGTGATTAGTGGTGCACCCCAAGGTTCAGTGTGATTAGTGGTGCACCCCAAGGTTCAGTGTGATTAGTGGTGCACCCCGAGGTTCAGTGTTATTAGTGGGGTACCCCAAGGTTCAGTTGTATTAGTGGTGTACCCCAAGGTTCAGTGTTATTAGTGGTGTACCCCGAGGTTCAGTGTTATTAGTGGTGTACCCCAAGGTTCAGTGTGATTAGTGGTGCACCCCAAGGTTCAGTGTGATTAGTGGTGTACCCCAAGGTTCAGTGTGATTAGTGGTGCACCCCGAGGTTCAGTGTGATTAGTGGTGCACCCCGAGGTTCAGTGTTATTAGTGGGGTACCCCAAGGTTCAGTGTGATTAGTGGGGTACCCCAAGGTTCAGTGTGATTAGTGGGGTACCCCAAGGTTCAGTGTGATTAGTGGGGTACCCCAAGGTTCAGTGTTGGAATCCTTACTTTTTAATATATTTGTAAACAATATCAGGTCGGGGATTATAAATCCCATTTCAGTCTTTGCAGATGACACCAAGCTGTGCCGGGAATAACGTCCTTACAGGATGTCTCCAACATACAAGCCGACCTCAATGCTCTGTGTAATTGGGGGACTATGGGGCCAATGAGGGTTAATGTTCATAAATGTAAGGTTCTGCACTTGGGGGCTAAGATTATGCATGCGTCATACATACTAGGGGGGTACAACTGGGGGGGTCAATGGTGAAGGATCTAGGGGATCTGGTAGATCACAAGCTTAATAATGGCATGCAATGATGCCAAGCTGCGGGTTCTAAAGAGCAAAATCCTCTCTTGTATTAGGAGAGGTATGGACTCCAGAGAGAAAGATATCACCCCCTCCCCCCGGTACAAATTATTAGTAATACCTCATCTGGAATATGCAGTTCAGTTTTGGGCTCCAATTCACAAAAAGAACATTGGGGAACTGGAGGAAGTACAGAGAAGGGCAACCAAACTGATACGAAGCATGGAGGAGATCAGCTATGAGGAAAGGTTAGAGGAACTGAATGTATTCTCTACTGAGAAGAGGAGATTAAGGGGGATATGATCTCCATGTATAATACATAAGGGGGGGGATATGATCTCCATGTATAATACATAAGGGGGGATAGGATCTCCATGTATAATACATAAGGGGGGATATGATCTCCATGTATAATACATAAGGGGGGATAGGATCTCCATGTATAATACATAAGGGGGGATATGATCTCCATGTATAATACATAAGGGGGGATATGATCTCCATGTATAATACATAAGGGGGGATATGATCACCATGTATAATACATAAGGGGGGATATGATCTCCATGTATAATACATAAGGGGGGATATGATCTCCATGTATAATACATAAGGGGGGGGATATGATCTCCATGTATAATACATAAGGGGGGATATGATCTCCATGTATATTACATAAGGGGGGATATGATCTCCATGTATAATACATAAGGGGGATATGATCACCATGTATAATACATAAGGGGGATATGATCTCCATGTAAAATACATAAGGGGGGATATGATCTCCATGTATTATACATAAGGGGGATATGATCACCATGTATAATACATAAGGGGGGATATGATCTCCATGTATAATACATAAGGGGGGGATATGATCTCCATGTATTATACATAAGGGGGATATGATCACCATGTATAATACATAAGGGGGGATATGATCTCCATGTATAATACATAAAGGGGGGATATGATCTCCATGTATAATACATAAGGGGGATATGATCACCATATATAATACATAAGGGGGGATATGATCTCCACGTATAATACATAAGGGGGGATATGATCTCCATGTATAATACATAAGGGGGATATGATCTCCATGTATAATACATAAGGGGGGATATGATCTCCACGTATAATACATAAGGGGGATATGATCTCCATGTATAATACATAAGGGGGGATATGATCTCCGTGTACAATACATAAGGGGGGGATATGATCTCTCCATGTATAATACATAAGGGGGGGATATGATTACCATATATAATACATAAGGGGGATATGATCTCCATGTATAATACATAAGGGGGGATATGATCTCCATGTATAATACATAAGGGGGGGGATATGATCTCCATGTATAATACATAAGGGGGGATATGATCTCCACGTATAATACATAAAGGGGATATGATCTCCATGTATAATACATAAAGGGGGATATGATCTCCATGTATAATACATAAGGGGGGATATGATCTCCATGTATAATACATAAGGGGGATATGATCTCCATGTATAATACATAAGGGGGGATATGATCACCATATATATATAAGGGGGGGATATGAATACATAAGGGGGGATATGATCTCCATGTATAATACATAAGGGGGGATATGATCTCCATGTATAATACATAAGGGGGGATATGATCTCCATGTATAATACATAAGGGGGGATATGATCTCCATGTATAATACATAAGGGGGGATATGTATAAATAAAACATAATCTCCATGTATAATACATAAGGGGGGATATGATCTCCACGTATAATACATAAGGGGGGATATGATCTCCACGTATAATACATAAGGGGGGATAATGATCTCCACGTATAATACATAAGGGGGGGGATATGATCTCCATGGGGGGTATAATACATAAGGGGGGATATGATCTCCACGTATAATACATAAGGGGGGATATGATCTCCCCATATAATACATAAGGGGGATATGATCTCCATGTATAATACATAAGGGGGGATATGATCTCCACGTATAATACATAAGGGGGGATATGATCTCCATGTATAATACATAAGGGGGGATATGATCTCCATGTATAATACATAAGGGGGGGGATGCTCCATGGTATAATACCTAAGGGGGGGGGTATATGATCTCTCTATGTATAAATACATAAGGGGGGGATATGATCTCCATGTATAATACATAAGGGGGATATGATCTCCATGTATAATACATAAGGGGGGGATATGATCACCATGTATAATACATAAGGGGGGATATGATCTCCATGTATAATACATAAGGGGGATATGATCTCCATGTATAATACATAAGGGGGGATATGATCTCCACGTATAATACATAAGGGGGGGGGGTATGATCTCCATGTATAATACATAAGGGGGGGATATGATCTCCATGTATAATACATAAGGGGGGATATGATCTCCATGTATAATACATAAGGGGGGGTATGATCTCCATGTATAATACATAAGGGGGGGTATGATCTCCATGTATAATACATAAGGGGGGGATATGATCTCCATGTATAATACATAATAGGGGGGGATATGATCTCCATGTATAATACATAAGGGGGGATATGATCTCCATGTATAATACATAAGGGGGATATGATCTCCATGTATAATACATAAGGGGGGATATGATCTCCATGTATAATACATAAGGGGGGGGGTATGATCTCCATGTATAATACATAAGGGGGGGGTATGATCTCCATGTATAATACATCAGTGGTTCATACAGTGAACTCGGTGTAGTTATTCCCCCTGAGGTCATCACAGAGCACACAACACGTTGAACTTTGAAGCAGATGAGCTACAGCAGCAGACACCACACTGGGTGTCACTCCTGTCAGCTAAGAACAGGAAACAGACTACAATTCACACAGGATCACCAAATTTGGACAACAGAAGATTGGAAGAACGTTGCCTGGTCTGATGAGTCTGGATTTCAGCTGCGACATTCAGATGATCGGGTCAGAATTTGGCATTAACAACTTGAAAGCATGGATCCATCCTGCCTTGTATGAACGGTTCAGGCTTGTGGAGTTGGTGTAATTGTGTGGGGGAGATTTTCTTGGCACACATTGGGTCCCTTAGTACCAACTGAGCATCGTTTAAATGCCACGGCCTACCTGAGTATTGTTGCTGACCATGTCCATCCCTTTATGACTCCAGTGTCCCCATCTTCTGATGGCTCCTTCCAAAAGGATAATGCACAATGTCACAAAGCTCAA